GGTTCATTACAGTGAATTCCAAGACACTTTGCATGCCTCCAGGAAATGCAGAACAGTCAAACAGGAAGAAAAAAAAAAAAAAAAAAAAAAAAAAAAAAAAAAAAAAAAAAAAAAGAAAAGAGGAAAAAGAACCAAAAAAAAAAAAAAAATACACACAGAAAAAGAAAGAAACGCAAAAGAAAACAAGCAAACCAATGAAAAACAGAAAAGAAGAAGAAGAAGTAAAGTCCCCAAATCGACTATACATCGTGCACCCGCCAACACTACCTATTGCAATTCTAACTCCTAGAAAATTAGTTCCCAGAAATTTCAAATTAGTAAATTACGCATTTGAAACTTTCCAGAATGTGGGCCCTGAGAACCAACCACCGTTGGGGAATTCCGACAACCCTACTCCTTTTCACACCTGGCATCCACAAAAAGTTGAAAACCTTTTTACGGTCAAACTGCCAAATCTTCCGCCAAACAGCACAAGAGGGACTCGCAAGTAATAAAGGGCTCATAGCTTACAAAAATGAGGTGCCAGCAGCGGAGTGTATGAGCGGAGTCACTTTTTCGCCTTCATATCCGTCCTAGGGAATTGCTTAGGGTCTCCCCATTTGCCCAAAGAAAGTTGTGACGTTGCATCTTTATCCGCAAGCCAGACAACTGCGCCTGCGTATGGTCTGACCATCTGCGCAGGAAGCGCTCCTGGGAGAGCCTGCACTTCCAGAACCCGTTGCAAGACCTCCGCTTTTCCTTGACCTGTTGCTACGAAAGCGATCTGCAACACAAGCGAATTTCGAAAAAAAAAGTCGTTACATTCACAATTTCACACACACCCACAGACCCCCCTCCACAATCCATCCACCACCCCGACTCCACGCCTATCCGACCCCAACCCACACACACACACACACACACACAATTGACATATGCTCTCTTTTTTTCTAAGGACCTTCTGTGTATCTAGACAAGCACCTTGAAGCAGTGCCTACTAGTAGTTTGTTCCTTGCTTGGAGTGCCTGCAGCACTATTAGGAGGGGCCGGGCTGCTCTATTTGGGATGTGTGTCCCTCACATGGGTGATGACAGATATTCAGCAAAGAGACTCCCTGGCTCAACGGGTGGTGGGAACGACGAACGGTGTGCCGGGGCGGTTCAACTTGTGGTGTGAGTAGGTGGCAGATTGGATTTGGTCTGTGTTGGATGTGTGGACTGCCTCGTCTGATCTCCTCCGCTGCCTTGAGGTCGACCCGCTAGCCGTTGTCTTTCGCTACAGCTTGTCTGTTCGCCCTGTAGTTTGGTTGCTCTGTAAGTGTTGCTTTGTGCCTCGCTGCATTTGTCGCCTTGCTGCCCGCCCGTCCGTGTGCCTCGTCTTCCCATCCATTCTGCTTGTGCACCAGGAAGTTTGGCCACTTTTGCAGCACTGCTCTTCGCTCACTAGTTACAAGCCTGCCTGTTCGCTTGCGCTGTCATTCCATTCAGTTAGCTCTGGAGTTTGCACGGATCAATTGACCCAGTGGCATTACCTGGCGCTTCACTGAGTCGTTGCCTTGCTGCCATGTTCTGCTTGGTGTGTTGTTTGTGGTCCGTCCACTTTCAACAATGGTTAAAAGAGTCCATGACTCAAAGCATCAATATGGGGACTCCGCAGATTGTCGCGGGTTCAGCCTCCTGACGAGTCGGTGCAAGTCCGATGAAACACAACCTACAATCATCAGTTTTTAACTTTGTATTGTTTTCACTCCTACTACTTGTGATTCGTCTTGTTTGCTGCTTTTTGCCTCGCTCCTTTTCCCTTGCTCTGTAAATGCTGCTTCGTGCCTCGCTGCTTGTTTGCTGCTTCTTGCCTCATGCCTCTTGCCTCGCTGCTTTTCCCTTGGTGCTGCTCATCTGCCCACCCACCTCTCCCCATGCCCTCCAGCCTATGTGCCATGCTGCCGCTTGTCGTTCAGCGCATTGCCTCCCTCCTTTTTTCTGCACTGCCTTTAGCCTTTCTGACTCTTGCATTAATGATTTTCAGCTCACATTTGTGTTAATGATTTTCAGCTCACATTTGTGTTAATGATTTTCAGCCTCGCTCTCGTCTTTCCATGCTGCTAGCTGGTCGAGTAGCAGCGTTTTGCCATGCCGCTTTTTGCTTTGCTGCCTTGCCTTAAACCACCAGTACACCCTAGGCCTAGCGGCTTTCCACTGCACGCCCAGCTTTTCCGAACTGCAAGCGGCACACTTTTTTTATTTTTTGGCTGCCGCCGCCAGCCATTGTGGTCCAGTAGGCCCGCGCCTCCGACATTTTCCTCGGCTATGAACGATTTCTCCACTAGGCTGCGGCCGTGTACACAGGCGTTTTAAGGATGTTTAGCCCGCTCCCTTTTGCTTTGTTGGTCTTCCACCTTGCGGCTTGCAGCCTCGCGGCTTTGTTCCTTTTGTCGCTTCTGCTTCCCTTGGTTGTACCACTTTGACTCACTCAAGTTATCTAACGACTTGACGACTCGCTCAGATGCGTATTGTCCTCCTGATGACTTGGGATGGCATGGTGCATGGTTTGCTACCATGCTGAGGATGACCTACACGTGTTTCACACACATCTCCACACGTGTGTCACACACACACACACACACACACACACACACACACACACACACACACACACACACACACACACACACACACACTACACAAAAAAAAAGATGCATGTGTGTAAAATCCATATTATTTTGCTGAAACGTTTCCACTGGTACTTCTTCAATGGCACTGTCTAACATCATATCTGGAATTCTGAATATGTTTAATATGAAAGGTCCTCCACCTGGAAGTAACCTCGTCATGTCCATCCGACTTTGAAAGTTATACTTTCAGTGTTTTCAGCCCGTTTATATTGTCTCAAACTTGGAACGATGGTCTGCAGGTCTGACAGGCTGCCGGGTTATGTCTCAAGACTGGCACAATCGTTTGACAGTCAGCCTGTCCAATCTACTGAGACTTTGAAAAACAATCCACTACATGAAGAACATCACTACTCCTCTCTCTCTCTCTCTCTCTCTCTCTCTCTCTCTCTCTCTCTCTCTCTCTCCCCCCCCAAAAAAAAACAACACAGTCTCTCCTCTTTCCTCTCTGTGACTGCCTGGGTGGACTATAGTGCACACATGGCAACCACACAGCAAAGGTGTGCTTTGAAAAGGAGGCAGCATCTCTCTCTCTCTCTCTCTCTCTCTCTCTCTCTCCAAAAAATAATATTCTCTCCTCTTTCCTCTGTGTGACTGCCTGGGTGGACTATAATGCACAGATAGCAACCACAGCACCAAAGGTGTGCTTTGAAGAGGAGGCAGCAGAGCCGCATCCCCTACTTCCCCTGAAACCAAAATATATTTCCTCTTCATGGGTAATGATGACCTCTGTAAACTATAGATGGCCTCTCCAATTCATCTCAGTACACAATAGTGCTCCTAGCCCCCCCATTCGTCTATATCTCGTGCTGCTCACACACAGGCACATATGCACCCCCTCTTACATTTCCTCTTGACCGCCCCACTTCATTAACGATGTGCGATTGTGCCTTTCTGGCAGATGGGAGTTGAGCAACCGACGAGCAACCACACCAGTGTGGCCAGCCTTGCACTCTTCATTCTTTTATTACTTGCGACTTCCGAGGGAATCTGGTCTGTTCTCTCTAGTAGGCTACAATTGCCTCAGGATTTGGGGGCGGACCGTGTATATCATTGGGTCATTCTATGATGTACACACGACAGTATTGCCAGCTCTCTGCCTTGCGAGATAGAGCGGCTTGAATCGATTGTGTACTTGTGCACATTCAAAGGTTTACGTTTTTTGGCATGTCATGATGTCACCTCATTCGAGATTACCCATTCTTTTTTTGCCACGGACGGATACCTGGGCAGTCTTTCTGTTGCTTCAGATCTGAGTTCTTCCTTAGCTGCAAGATCCGACGAAGGCATAGAGTTTGTTTGCAGTGGGTGTGATTCCCACACAGTGGTTGTCGTTTCCATGCAGTCGCTGCTGTTTGGGACCACATACTCCGACAGGGTCTCATGGTGTCACATACTGATCCATGATTCCATGGACTGTTCGCAGATGCACACGTGCACTCCAACATGCAACCGCACACACACACACACACACACACACACACACACACACACACATCCTGATGAGTCGGTGAAAGTCTGACAAAGCAGTCTGGCACAGTCATGCTTTTTTTGAGTCTATACACTGTATAGCGAACATGACAACACACACACACACACACACACACACACACACAACAACAACAATCATACAGTAACAGGCAAAACGACGTAGAATGAAGTTCAATCAAGAGGGAAAGCAACACGCGTGCGTGCATTGCGTACACCGCCCCCCACCCACACACCTCCGACAGCAACCATACGCCAAGAGGCAAAACAATGTGGAATGAACTTCAAATGAACACAGAGAGCAGCAGAAGGCTGCTCCTCCCTTTAGCTTGCAGTTATGCATTTGAGGGTCTTCAAAGTTGAGGTGCCAAACGACTCCACCGGTGGAACGAAATGAGATTCAGAAGACTCAGGAGTCAGAACCCTTCTACACAGGGCAACCACCAGGCTTTTGTCTCTGTTCAGGACCTTCAGGCTGGTTTATACAATTACCCTCTGCGGTTTTTGTGTTTTTTTGGCAAGGGAGGGGTGCGGGCTCTACGGTTGTGATATGCACAGCATACGAGCATGAGATTGCTTGCCCACTTCACCATTTACACAAACATATGTTAACCTAATCCTTCCACCGCCCCCCTAACCTCACGCCACCAACCTCTTCCCCGCCGCTGCCTGCTTGCTGGCCATGGCCAGATGGCAGAAGCGCAAATTATGTTAACCTGATCTTCACTAGGAAGAAAAATTCGGGAAATATACAGAAAAGCAAGGGGTCTGCTACGATACTCACATTTTCAGCTGAGTTGATGACTGGCAACGTCAGAGTGATCCGCTCTGGAGGGGGTTTGGGGGAGTTCTTGATGGGCATCACCCATCTCTCTTTCTCAGCAAGTAGAGGGTGGTTTGGGAAAAGCGACGCTATGTGACCATCTGGGCCCATGCCAAGCAGAATCTGCGGACATGGAAAGCACAAGCAAAACACATCCACTCGGACATGGAAAGCACAAGCAAAACACATCCACTCGTCAGCAAACAAGTTTCAGAAGCTGTACCAACCGTCCTCGCTCAGTTGCTACACCCATGGACAGTTGAATTGCAGACCTCAGCTAAGACTCCCAATCTACCCAGATGAGTGAAATAACTCAGAAATAACCTGGGGCCGGTCAGTCTGACGAGGATATTGCAAGGCCTTCGCTCTTATTTCAAAAAAAAAAAGAAAGAGAAGAAGCGGACGAGAGGAAGTTTTTGAAGCTGCCCTGGAAAGATCTGTGCCACTTCTCAAAGCCATCACACAAAGAAGAGATCCCATCCGATACGCTTTTTTTTTTTTTTTTTTTTTTCCCAACTCTATCTCATTCACTTGTTCCTCGCTCGTCTCCCTTTATTACAAAAAAAGAAAAACATCACAAACCGATGCACACCCTCTGATATAGAGAGGACGGCAAATTCTGCATCTGTCACCCGGATGTTGACAACAACACTGCCCAATGGCCCCAATCTGGAGTATAACCCCTTCATCTGCGACCTCAAGAGGCCTAGAACAGGACTCTGGCAGCCCCACAGTTCTTTTTTCCAGTCACAAACCCATTTAAACTTGGGTTGGAGAGAAAGTGGTCATGACGACAAGGATAATAACGACAATTTCAAAAACAAAATGAAAAAAAAAGGAAAGTAATTGGATAAAGATCATAAAGTACCATCGAAACCAGGCTACCCCTTCAAAAAGCAAAGAATATGAATACGATCCCTGCTCTACACAATCTGTCACACACACACACACACACACACACACACACACACACACACACACACACACAGAAAGAGAGAAAAAGAGAGAGAGAGAGAGAGAGAGAGAGAGAGAGAGAGAGAGAGAGAGAGAGAGAGAGAGAGAGAGGATCAACTGTGCAGGGTACCTATCAGAGACCACCAGGGATGAACTCGCTGAGAAATATTGTCCAGATGCAGACCACGAACCAGGAAAAGGTAGAGGGCTAGGCTGTTTTCCTTTCTGGTAGCCTTAGTTAAAAGAGGCCCTGGTAACCTAGTTAGAAGGCCGTGCTGCCTACACAATAGGCCCATAGGCCCCAGACACGAAAACCATCGCACTGATACATTCAACGACAAGAAAAAAAAAAAAAAACGGAGGCCCTATTTCCCTTTCTTGAACTTCGTGAGCAGCCTCTTTTTTTTTGTTTGAAAAAAAAAACTAAAAAAAATCATACGTTCTATTTATGTGAATAGTTCGCCGGGGAAAGCTTGCAAGCATGGGGGAAGCACGTCGCTTAAGCCACCACTGTCCACGATCGACATGCCAGTGCACAGGGAAGCTTCGAATGTACCAACCCACCTGCACCGACTCGATTCGTGCATAAACTAAACACTACCCACCGGGGAGGACAGCCAGCCTCCAGACAACGACAATTCAAAAACCTCCAACACTCCGCCATTTCCTGACGTCTTCACCAGAATAAAACGTACAGTCATAATGACTGTATTTCGAGCACTGTTCAGTCTAGAAACAGTGATAACGACTGCAAGTTCTATTTGGGTAAAGAGGGTAGTTAGAAAAAGTGCACACAGAGTGTTCTGACAAACTTCTGGCCCCTCTATCTCCCTGCTGTCCTCCCCTGAATAGAACATACAGCCACTATCACTGTATCTAGACTGAATGTTGACCCAGGTACAGCTAGAATGACCGTCCGTTCTATTCGGGGGAAGAAGGGAGGAGTGCACCCACAGTATTCACAGATTTTCAAATTATCTCATTCAGAATCATTTTCACAGTCAAGACTGAAGCTGTACTTTACCCCTGTATAATATGGTACCCTGCACCTGGATGCATTCATGAGAGAGCCACATAGCCTCTGCTTTGACTGTCATTCCACCACTACCGTCTTCCACCGAACATAACACACCCTGATAATGAACGTATACAAGTCATCTTTCCGGTCCGGTACAGCCATAATGGGGGTGTGTTGTGTTTGGGGCAGCACAGCAGCCAGCTCGCCTTCCCCACAGGGTGTCCAATTTAGTTGGGACTCCGTAGCCATTTCTCAAACAATTGGGTATTCAGCTACTATTCGCGTGTTTGGGAAACGAGTATTTATTGCCTTTATTCCTATGCTGAGTGTGTGATGCTTTCCCTTCTACCACACACGATGCACCAGTTTCCACATATGCAGAATATGAAAACAGGCTGTAATCGCACACAGAGTCGAGGCACGGCTATAGATGACGAAAGAAGATCAGCGGACGACCGCAAGATGAAAAGCAGAAGCTCGAACGAATGAAAGCAAGAGAGAGAGAAGGGAAAAAAAAAAAAAAACTCCCAAGATGCGATGCAAAAGCTGGAAAGACTAAAGGCAAGAGAGCACACAGGCAAAGTGACATCAGAAAAGAGCATGGATGTAATTACAAATTTGCCCGATTACAGCGTTATCTAGATAGGCAACATCAGAAGAGAAAAAACAAAAATGGGAACAATGCAGAGAAGAGTCAGACGAGTATAACCGTCTTCACCCGAATAGAACGCCCGGTCAATATAGCTGTATTTGGGGCAACTTCCACTCCAGATACATCAATAATTACCGGGCTTTCTATTCGGGTGAAGACGGTAGTAGCATGGCCTCTGCGCATTCAAGGATGACAAACAAAAATTGAGAAATGGTACAACTTTTTTTAATACTAAAAATAAATTTAAAAAAACCTACAAAATTTCAAGAAAAAAAAAAAAACTTAAAAAATGCACACAGTTGCATACTACAGACTTACTTACCAAATCAAAGCACGGATAAGTCATGCCATCAGCATTTTCTCTGGTAGCCAAAGCGCCACCAGCAAGAGATCTGCGGCAGACGCCAAACGAGCTGTCAATGGGCCTCCTTTACTCACCACATGCACAAAAGACCAAAAATATGGTGTCGTCGTATCTTCCCATGTTCTAGCAGAAGATTCATTCTCATTTTGCACATTGTTTGAGTAGCAGAGCGAGGCCCAATATATGTTTCCATGAAAAAGCGCGATGACAGAGAGAGAAGATCAAAAGCTTGACATACAAAGGTCCCTAGGCTCAATCCAGCCACCCCGATATGCCATCAATGTTTGATAATTAACTTCTAAATGAGATGGGTTTTTTTTTTTTAATTCGGTTATATCTTATATTTTGTTTGATGGTTGACTTGCAATTTTGTTGAATAGAAAAATAAGATCACCACTGGAAACTTGAGAGCTAGGCCAAAGGATAATTTGCAATCAGACTCGTTCTCATTCACACTTTTCATGTATGTAAACAGCAGCGCAGCAAACTGGCGACATGCGGCCACACAAAACTCAGAGATATGGCTTCCAGATACGACTTCACTTGCAACTGGCTATGGCGACTCAGCACCCAAACAACTCACTGTTCACACACACCGGATCACCCTGGATATCCCACATGCGTCACTCTGAACACTCACACATACATACACACACTTCACACTAAACCACAGCTATGGCAGCTATGGCTGCCTCTACCCTGTCGCTATGCTAAACTCCCTCTCTCTCGCCCACTGCGTCCTCCGGGCTCACTGCAGACCTCCTTGCACAAGTCGCTGTGGCAGCGCTTCCGCATGGCTCACGCAGGAATGAATGAAAGGCTGGGCGCTGCCTCTTGATATATACTTCGGAAACTCGTCGGTCTGCCCTTTGCCATCGGCCCATGGTGCTCACAGTCCCCCCGTGGCACTTGCTGGACCGGACTGGGACTGACTGGACCTTACCGCTGACTGACTGTGGACTCGCTGCTATCCTACCGTCGTCGTACTGCAATTGCACTGCAGTTTAGTCCACCACTTGCCTCGCCACTTGACCACTTGCCCACTTGCCTAGCTTCTAGAAGGACTACAGCTAGACTTCTGGAACTCGCTAAGACTCCTACTCTAAAGATCTACAGTTCGAACCCCTGCTATCTACGGACCTATGACGGACCTACCAACTGTCTACGAATACACAGGTCACAGGTTCAACTCTCAGGGTTTACACAGATACTGTACATGGGCAGGACGAGGTCTAGGGATCGAACCCTAGGTACTGCATCTGCTACTGCTAAAAGGTGAAAACCGTTTCAAATTTGATTATTAACACAAATATTTTTACGACTTATAAGCTGTCTTGCTGTAAAAATAGTAGAGCAAAAATTCATACGTACAAGAAGAATGTCCAATCTTTTCTCCATTAATAATAACAAACTCAAAAGACTCTCTCTCTCTCTCTCTCTCTCTCTCTCTCTCTCTCTCTCTCTCTCTCTCTCTCTCTCTGTGTCTCTTGCGCGCACGCGCGTGTGCATCTTCCCAATACCATCTTCCCAGCTCTCTGCAGCTATGCTTACCCACTGGAGAATCTGAATACACCACTACAGAGCTACCATCTTCTCCAAATAGAGCATACTGTCATTATGCCTGTATTTGGGGCAACTTTCAGTCTAGATACAGTGATAATGACCCATATGTTCTATTCGGGGGAAGATGGGAGAGCGGGGACATATACAAAGAAGCATAGGTCTGTTCATAGAGATTATTGCAGTCGTAATGACTATAGATGTGAAGGGCATCCAGGCGGTGAATTTGATGGGCACGAAGCAGCCAAAGTAGGCAGCTCAGCTACTACCTTCTTCCCCTGAATAGAGCGCCCAGTAATTGTCGCCGCATCTGGACTGACAGTCGGACCAAATACAGCTATAATGACCAGGCGTTCTATTCGGGTGAAGACGGTAGTGCAATGCCTTCAGGACCAATTCACTACACTAACCTGCAAGGAAAGTGGAATTTCTACGCTAGAGAGATACAATTCAGTGAATTCACCGATGTTACACGGAACACCGACAAATATGAATCCGACAAATCATTCACGATTAAAACATCGGTGAATTCACTGAATTGTATCTCTCTAGCGTAGAAATTCCACTTTCCTTGCAGGTTAGTGTAGTGAATTGGTCCTGTAGTGAAGGCTTTTGAGGTTGAGGTGCGAAATCATATGGACGGGGAACAAACAAACAGGGATTGGGTAGATCTAGCCAGCCAAGCACGTCCAGAAACTTTACAGTGTGATCGCGAAGATTAGAGTTCGCATCCAGCTATATATCGGGAAAACATTCATTTACAATTTTACATTTACTTGGATGAATCTATCCCAAGGGAAGTCAGGTATGCGTTATAAATAGAAGAAGCTGGCAAGAGGAGCCCTTCGAGACTACGAAACTCGGGAGCGGAAAACAGGAGGAGAGGAGGTCTGCAGCGGAGACGAGCGCATACCTGGCTACTGTACCATCGGGCTTTCTACGCACTCCTAAGGGTATCAATTTCAAATTACCAATCATCTGTCTGCTGACATTGTGGCTGTCAAGATGGTCACCTATCTAGAGTACTCAGTGGACAGAGAGGTGGGCAGAGTTTCGCACAGTCATTTATGGCGGATGTTGCTCGACCCTCCCGAGATCCTTCCGAACCAGTCCGAGAAAGTCTACCTTCTTCCCCGAAATACAACGCATGGTCATTATAGCTGTACAACGTACGGTCATTATAGCTGTATCTAGACTGAAAGATGCCTCGAATACAGCTATAATGACCGTACATTGTATTTGGGGGAAGAAGGTAGTCATACGACACAGTTGCCAAATCAATGGGATCTTGCATCCCCACATTCCATCATCTTTTCAGTTACAAAACAAAAATAAAAAAAAATAAAAAAAAAGAAGCTACAATCTGTGTGGGGCAATGAACAGCAGAGCACCGAGAAGGTCGAGTCCAGACCATGACCTGCACTTTGGGATGCATCTACAAGAGTTTTAGACCACAGAAATGACCGAGTGGGTCTGCAGCTCATGAGACACGTCTGCAGCTTCTATTCTGCAACCATGTTCCATCCATCCCACATCCAGCAAATTTATTTTCGCTACAACTTACAAACATGTACAGAGTATTAAAAAAAAGAAGAAAAAAAAAAAAAAATTAAAACATGTACGGAGTTCTACACGAGTCTAAGCCTATGAATGAGCGAGCAGGCACTCCCCTGACAAGTGTGTGTGGGTCTGCAACTTGTATTCTATGAAGTTATGAACACCATCTCAGAAAGGCAGACGATGGTGGTTTAAAGGAAGATCTTTGCTGGGATATACCACAGAAGCGGAAAGGAAAAGGGAGAGTAGTAGTACATTTATATATTTATATAAGGGGCAACAGGCACTTCACCAATTGCCTTGCCCGTCTTCAGCACTGCAGTAGACTTGTGGATGATGAGGTGGTGGTGTTTTGTTGGGTTGGGGCCCTAGGCTGGAGGAAGGAAAGGGRGGKGGAAGGGGGCGGGKGGGGGGGGGGGGGAGGAACATGGGGGAAGAAGGGACGGGCGCTTCCCTCGTTCTAGGTCTGGAGGGTATAAAAAGGGTGTAATGGGGCTCAGAAAGGCCTTGAATGAGTGTGCGACCGTGTGCCTTTTTTTTTTGAAGTTGTATTTTTTAGTTCCACTTGTAGCTTCGAAGAACCTTGCCTGGGACCCCGGATTCTGCCCAGATCCTTGCCCAGGACCTCGCCTGGGACCTTGCCTAGGACTTTGCCCAGGACCGTACAGAACCTTTCCCAGGACCTTACCTGGGACCTTGCCTGGAACCAGATCTGGACCAGTCAGGGTACCTGCCAGAGTCAGTCCCGGTTTCCCAATGATACCCTTGACCTTGCCACCACGGTCTTTCTCTCAAACATCAGCCCAAACTCCTCCAACCTCAACCCCACAAAAAAATGCAGCCACAGCCATGTAGCACACCGCGGGATCAGTTCAATGACTGTCAATTAGAGATAAACTGTTACCTGAGGACAGACTCGTATGCCTGCGCAGCACCCTCCACATCCAACGAGTCGTCTAGAGCATACACCTGACTCTCTGGGATTGGAACTTTGGAGAGGAACCCTTCCTGCAGCCGCACACAAAGACCAAAACGCATAACACCATTCAGAAATTTAAGGGAACTGGAAAGAACGCCCGCATAACTTAACTCCTGAAGCTGTGCGGCAAAGATACCCGTTTTCCAGCAGGTGTTACTCCCCACCAATAGTTTGCAGTCACCGGCAGAGAGAGCTGCTAGGCGTCGGTGCTCTTATCACCACACCTAGCAGACTCGGCAGGTGTTGGTGATTAAAAAAAAAAAAAAAAAAAAAAGGCACTGTAGATCTCCTTCGTCACGTGCACCATCCTCAACTTGAGTTTGACAATTACTACCCTCACAGGCAGCAAAACATATAAATTGCACCCAAACCACCAAGGAGAAAAGAGGGGCTGGACGAAGTTTTCTGTGCGCAGCCCAAACACATTGTGTTTTTGTCATTTTTGGGGTGATTGTTGCCCGCTCGGATTCACACCATAGCCAGTAGCGCTCGGATTCACACCATAGCCAACAGCACTCAGTTCCAATCACTTTCTTATGTGCCGCAGCCACTAGGTTTTGAACTGGGGTCTGTAAGATTGCTGCATGTGTTCTAGAGACGATAGGCTAGCCGTAGCGGGAAAGTGCGGATTGTTTTGGCAGAAATGATGCAGCCCGACTGTACGATTCATTTTTTTTGGGAAAGCTTTTCCGGGGGTCGAGGAGGGAAAACGGTTTGTTCGTCAGCAAGTGATGCCAAGATGAGAGCAGAGGTAGCAGCTGTTAGAGCTACTTTCATCATTTCGATGTCCGGTGCCCACCGCCCAGGTGGACATACTGCTCAGCAAGTACCCACCAGGTTATGGCTTTGAATGACAAGAGACTGAGTTTTTGAACTCTACATTCAAGAATATGTAATTACTAATTAGTAATTACCTATTTATGTGATGTAAGGCATTGAAAGCAAGTGTATTTTATTTTTAGCTTGGAAATTCATTGAATATTATGAAATTATTCATTGAAATATGAATACTGTGTCATTGTGACAGGATTGAGCGAGACTACACCACTCCCAACAAGAGAGAAACAAGCAGCAAACACTATACCGTCGGTGAAAAGTTGAAATCCATAGCATGCAACGCCCTTAGCCAATCTTGAGAGTAACATCCCCCCTCGCAGACCAAGGCCGGTGTCTTAACAAACAAAAAACAAAAAAAAACAAAAAAAAAAAACATCCCCCCTAGCAGACCAAGGCTGGTGTCTTAAAAAAAAAAAAAAAAAAAAAAAAAAAAAAAAAAAAAA